ATTGATATTGCAATTAAATTTTTGAAAATCAAAGTTGATTAGAATGCAAGAAACTAGAAGAGAATTCCACAAGTGAGAAGTGCAAGAGAAGAAACTGTTAGCAAAGAACTTATGGTTATATCTTGCCATTTCAACTTTAGAATGATGAAACCTTGCTGCCAATCTCATACTTAAATTCATAAATTCAAGATACCAAAGAAGAAAGTAATATTTATTTTGTTAAAAAAAAAAAAAGACCAAAAAGGGAGGATGGAAAATGCTGGTCTTCTTTTGTCTTATAATTAAACCTATCTATATTTCTGAGATACAGTATTGTAATTATTTACACTATTTACATTTTTCAGACTGTTGTCCTCATCTTCGTTGGCATATTCACAATGTTTTGGGCCTTGTACACTTTGGCCTTTTTCAGGTGATTGGAATTTTGAACCAAACTGTTTATTTCATCCACCAGGGTAGATTGTTCTAGTTCCATGTGCCATGCCTCTTCTGGATATCTCACTATCAGTTATTTCCCTTTGACTCAACTCTCCAAGTTATTGTTCACAACTCTTTGGATCAAGTCACTGGATTACTTCAACGAACGCTTTTATGCAATGGGTGCTTGAGGTGTAGGAATGTTAGGTTCAACATTCATGTCAGCTTCTGGTGGAACTTTTCTAATTGTCACCACATTTTTGGTATATTGGGTCATACTGCTCCTTCAATATCTGTCTATATTTCTGAGATGAAGTATTGTAATTATTTATACTATTTACATTGTTCAAACTGTTGTCCTCATCTTTGTTGCCATATTAACAATGTTTCAGCCATTGTACACTCCGACCTTCAACAGGTGATTGGAATTTCAGAGTGTTAGAGAAAAACAATAATACCAACAAATTGTAATATGAGCTCTGATAAAAAAATAATTCTGAGACATTAGATTTATAAGTCCCAAAAATTCATACACTGAGGACACATGACTCAAGGACACATACCCTAGTGGATAAAAACGTTGACAGAGATAATTCAGTGACTTGACCCAAAGAACTGTGGGCTCAGTAGTTTGCTACAGCAGAGATAAACAATAACTTGGAAAGCTGAATCAAAATCGTAACTGATACTGGGATATCTGGGAGAGGCATGGCATGTGGAGCTAGAACAATCTACCTTAGCAGATGAAATAAAAGTTTTGGTTCAAAATTGCAATTACCTGAAGAAGGCCAGTGCTAGCTTGCCACAATTACTGTCCCAAATATACCACAGTATTCCTTACCCCAAAACAATACATTCTTACTTCAACATAATATGGAATCCTAACTAGTTCCCATAAGTACAATTTTTGTCTGGGCAGCGGGGGGATAAAAAGAGGAAAGCTCATCAGAATTGTCACCATGAAAGTATTTATAGAAGATGTAGAAGGAAGATATGCTATAGTGGTGGGAAAGTGATTGAACCTGAGATGCCAGTTCAGGACTAATAACATTGCAGAGTCTTCTTTGTATTTTATCAAGAATCTCTAAATATATAGCAGAATCACTAGACCAGATATGGTAGAAATATTCAATGCATGGATGAAAGGTAGACATAAATGTGTAAGATAGATTTGGTGAGAAAAATAGTCTAGCATGACACAGTGACCCTAATTTCCTGCCAGCAGTTCATTTTCTTAGAAATCATTCCACCTCATGTCAGTGGAAAACCATAGCCCTAGAATGTGCAATGAGTTCCTCTCCTGGAGGTTAGCAATTGACATAAAATTAAAAAAAATAAGACAAACATATAAGATAGAGAATAAATAAATTATAGTATTAGAACATGACCTTGTTTAATGTAAACAAACAGATTCAGAAAACCTGTCTATCTGACAATGTTAAAAGAAATATGAAAGTCATTCTGAAATATGGTTGGAGGCAAAAACATTATAGGTAAGTCTTTGGTTTATCAGTTGGAAAAAAGTCATGGAGGAAATAATGTTTTCATTTAAAGTAGGTGATATTTTTTGTAAGATAAATAATACTGTAATTTATTTAATAAGTCTAATTCATAGTTATAAAATAAGTAATATTCTAATAAGTTATTTACTCTCTTTACATTGTTCAGACTATTGCCATCATTTTTATTGTCATATACATGATGTTTTGACAATAAAAATGAGGACAACAGTCCGAACAATGTAAATAGTGTAAATTGTTGCAATACCTCATCTTAGAAATATAGACAGATTCTAATAAGTTTGTTTATTAAAATATTACTTTAATTATGATGAATTAAGCAAAACTGTTATCAGTATTTAACACTCACAGGATATATTGAAGGCAAAGGAAAGCAGTGAATAATCTGCCTAACAAGCTTGTGTAAATGATTAGCAGAACAGGGATTAGGATTGATTGATTTGTTTTTATTTAGGGTTTATCAAGTGTGAGCAGGTTATTTAAAGTCAGAAAATATATTTAGATCATAAGTTTTTTTTAGAGATAATAGTGATTTTTATTGATACTAATAACCCATAGATGAGTAGAGAAGAGGTGGGATTGTATCTTTCCCAAGTATATTTGGGTATAAGTGAATATAATGAATCCAACAGGTATTGGAACTAGGCTCTCCATTTTCCAACTGTAAGCCATTTATTCATTATACCACCCACACATCCAAGCTTGCAGCACCTGGTATTCCCAAGCAGTAACCCATCTAGGTACTGACCAGTCTCAACATTGCTTAACTTTGGTGACAGTCCAAGCACTGGTGTGTCAATGGGATATGGCTGTAAACCCCAGGATTAGGTGAGATAGAACAAACATGGCTAAGAGCTGCAAATAACAGGAAGTTGTGGAAATTTACAACTGACCATGTCATGAAGGGACACTACAGATAAACGTTCCCAAATTAATTGTCAGTGAAAAGTGTAATTAAAATTAAATCAAAATGATAAAGAAGAAGAAAGACATATCTCATGAAAATATTGCATTCAGTGTCCATAATTCCACAAATAAAGTTCTGGAGTTGTTACTTTTAAACTCTATAGACATTGTTGGTTATAAGTCTTAACTGTTGGGAAATTAAATATTGTAAAGATTAAAATGGACTGATATGAAATGAATATTATTTTATTTGATGACATATACTCTCATCAAATTTAAAAAAAATAAAAATAGAAAGCCCGCCCCCAAATCTCTAGATTTTATAATTAAAGTTATGTGGTAAATATTTACCTAGATGCCCTTGACTACTGGTATTTATGCCTCACCTAACTCCATTATACAGTAATATCAAATGTAAATATAGAGGAGATAGAAAGTAAATTCAAACTTACTTAGCAACAACTGTTGAATTAGTAATAAAAAAAACCATTAAAAATTGACTGATGCGAGAAGTCAAAAATAAACAAAAGACTTTGTTCTTCTTTTAAGATATGAGAAATAATAAAATATCTTTTTGGACTTTTTCTAATGCCATCTCCCTTCAGGATATAACTGATCATGACTCTCCACAGATTCTGTTTTCTTTATTATTTCTGAATTGCTGTGTAGTCATGGAAAAGATGGTGGAATGATTTCCCAGTGCAGGGTTCTCCACAGTTTGGAAGTCAGTTTTCTCAGGCTGGTTGCCACATAAAACTAGAGAGTCCAGTCTACTCATAGCTAGTGGGAGGATAGGTGGATTCATGCCTTTCTCAAAGGAATTAGTTTGACAGTGAGCACATCAACTAGGGGGTAGGAATATTGTATATGAAAAGACCTGTTTTTTCTAAAAAGCAGCATTTCAAATTCTGGGTTTGATTTGGGTTTAACTATTATTTAATTTTTTTTTATAAATACTAAAATGAGATGTTGTGAGTTTCCCGTGTGTCGGTGTATGAATTAAGACAAACACAGTTGTAGAGGAAAATACTGGTATATTCATAAATGCAATTAACAATAGAGTGATTAATAGAACGAAGGTTGGTTAGTACGAACAATATCCAAAGTCTATAGTCCAACGGTATGTACCGGGTAAGCTTATCTGGACTGCTCATGCTGACTCTCTCTCTCTCTGACGCGCCCCTCACTCTCTCCAGAGCTGACTTATATAAGAGGGACCAGTCCATTACTAGTTAGAAGGTGGGTGCGCCCCAACATAAAATTTTGACTAGTAAAAAGCTTGAGAAATATTCAAGATACTGTTACAGTAAACAAAATGGTAATGCTAAATGTACTGAATGATATGACTGGAAGAGAAGATGGTAAGATTATGAGCATAAAGAAGAAAGATTACAATTGACTCTTGACTTGAAAAGGTCAAAATTGAATTGTTCAGGGAAGCAGCCATGCAGGAGCCTGTTTCACAAATTGGCAGTTCTTGGAGAAAAAATCTGAGTTGAACTTTCTTCTTACATTTGAAACAAGGAAGAAATGAGGATGATTTGTCTCTGTGGAAGTGGCTTGGTATATCTTAATTGTAAAGAGAGACAAATGCACTACCCTTTCAGCCAAAAACTAAACTCTAATTTTGGTAAATGAGTAGATATGTGAATCATCTATGTAGATAAGTATGTAGGTAGATAATGTTAGTTTAAGATAACTATATAGTGAAATGGAAAAGACAGAAAGACATAACATATAGTCAGGTGTCTTCCAGTATTGTAAATGTTTACTGAGGCAAAGTTATCACTAACCACCTCCTCACTTCAGTAAATTTTTATTTGCCTTTTAAATAGGCCAAGAAATCTTCCATGTATTGATCATACTGCTATTTTTTTCTTGTAGTTTATCTTTTTCTTGTTTTTTTATATTTTTTTTATATTGTTTTTTTTCTTCCTTTTCTTTCTCTTTCTTTTACTTTTGCTATGTAAATAAAAAAAGTTTTCTTTTTTGTACATTACAAAAAAAATCTCTAGAATCTTAGCATTTATTCTGATTCCTATAAATATCTCTGTTGACTTACCATTGGCTTATGTGTTTGTGCAAAAGAGAAAATATTGATGTTTATTCCAAAAGAACAGAGTTAAATAAAATAAGACAGCATAGCTGATGAAAAAGTTATAAAATACACCAATATGAATTTAGCACAAGGATAAATAATAGATTGACAGATTTGCAGATAGGCAAATGATGGATGGACAAATATGTGGGTAGGGAAATGATGGATGGATGGACATATATACAGGTAGGTAAAATGATGGATGGACATATGTGGGTAGGGAAATGATGGATGGATGGATGGATGGACATATATGCAGGTAGGGAAATGATGGATGGACATATGTGGGTAGGGAAATGATGGATGGACATATGTGGGTAGGGAAATGATGGATGGACATATGTGGGTAGGGAAATGATGGATGGACATATGTGGGTAGGGAAATGATGGATGGACATATGGACATATATGCAGGTAGGGAAATGATGGATGGACATATATGCGGGTAGGGAAATGATGGATGGATGGACATATATGCGGGTAGGGAAATGATGGATGGATGGACATATATGCAGGTAGGGAAATGATGGATGGATGGACATATATGCGGGTAGGGAAATGATGGATGGACAGATATGTGGGTAGGCAAACTAATTATATGAGTTGAGTGTTTAGAAATATAACTTAAATGTAAAACTCTTCTGAATGAAATAATACAGCAGGTTTATAATTATCATTAATGACTTCTTCAGGATGCTCATGATCATGGCACTCCACAATTTCCTGTCTTTTGTAATAACTATAGTAAATTTAAAGAAAAAATTCCTAAAATTCGATAAAATATTAGATTACAGAGAATACTTTCCAAAATTTTAAAAATTTATGGGTAGTTAATAACTATGTAAAGAAGGTGCTCACATTATATTTGTCAAGTAATTTTTTTAGATATGTCTCCTGTAGAAAAAAATTACTTTACTCTCTGGTTGTCAATCTGTCAACATCTTATCAAAACACCTACCTCCATGTTAAAAAATGCAATTGTGCAATATTTTAAACTAAAAGTAAGCAATATCTGTTTTAAATCAGATTAATTAAACTTTAATTAAATTTTCAGAAAATTATATTTTATTTCAGAAGGAGTGTTTAATAAAAAGAATTACATTGTGATGACAGATGGTGAAAAATGGCTAAAATCAACAGTTTTTACCAATTTCAAAAATAAAATCTCCTTCCAGTCAATTTAAATTATTTTTGAAATACACCAAAGTATTTTTCTTATTGGAAATATTAAATTTAATCTATCAGCTTGAAATTAAAATTAAAATAAAAGCTTCAAGAAAAATTTTTCATTTTTTAAATTCATTTTAAATTTTAGGTATTGCTTTTCTCTGGTGGTACTTTACCGTATGATGAGTCCAAATAATTAAAAAGATTCCAGCATAAAAAACATAGAAAACAAAATAGAATATTTATTTATACAATAAAGTTGAATATATACATCTTACAAATTACATACAATGTCTTTAGTGACTGTTAAATGGTAACTGAATTATACCTTTTTTGTCAAAATAGTGACTCTCTTTAATGATGACATACATAGTACTTATAGTAAATACTAAAAGCATATACAGAAAATAAGATGTCAAAATGCCCATCCCCATAGAATCATTAGTGGATATAACATAAATACTAAAATTTATGACTAATTTATGTTTTTCTATAAAAATTGAAATCCACAAGCATACTGAGAAAAAACTGTATAGACTTTTACCTCTCACAGAAAAGAATTTGTAATAAGCCAATTCTGTTAACTGTTAGTCTTGTTGCAAGAACATGATTTTTGCTCACATGGCTAGAATTAACTTAAAATCACCATAGTAACATCAATGCTTATGACTATATATATATATATATATATATATATATATATATATATATATATATATATATATAGTCATTTCACCCCAAACAAGGCAATAAAGCCACTAAGACACAAGAGATTACTGAGTGTAAAAGAATAAGAATTAAGAAATGAGGACAATAAAAGAATAAGAATTAAGAAGTCAGAAGATGAGGATTGACATTTCACTTGAAATTTTAAAGATCAAAGTTGACTGGAAAGAAAGGAGTTAGAAGAGAGTACAACAAGTGAGCAGTGTGGGGGAAGAAACTGCCAGCACAGAACTTACTATTACATCTAGTGATGTAAACTGTAAAATAATGGGACCTAGCTGCCAATCTAGTACAGTGCTTAAATTCATAAAGTCAATGTATGATAGAGGAAAGCTCATGGGAACAATTACCATGAAAATATTTATAGAAAATGAGCAGGGAAGCTACATTACGGCAATGGGAAAGTGATTAAAGTTGAGATGCCAGATCAGGACTGCATTACAGATTATTTTGGATTTTATCAAGAATCTCTAAATACATAGCAAAATCACCAGATCAGATATGGCAGCAATATTCAATGCATGGATGAATGGTAGACTTATAAAGATGTAAGATAAATTCTGGCAAGAAAAATTGTGAAACTAACTTTTCTAGAAGTAGACTTAGCATTTAATTCAATATAATTGTTCCACTCCAAGTTAGAAGAAAATGTTAACCTGAGAAGGCTATATATCTAAAGTAGGATTTTTGGAAAGTTATGTCTTTGTGTTAAAATTCAAAATAATGAGCCTCACTTGGACTTAAACAGTTGCTAGCTGCATACCAAGGAGACTTTAATCATTCTGTTGTTTATATTGTATCTCAAGTGTTGAGATGTAAAGAAAATCCAACCAAATTTTTCTCACCTATTCTAGTCACTTCCCTGGTGAAGTAGACCCAAATGAAGAAATACTAAATTTACATGCGAATCTACTCCAGTTGAATGTGTGGGTAATGTGATGGTTAGCAACTTGAACAATGAGAAATAAGGAAACCGGAGTTCAAATTCCAGTAGACTTTTGTTACATACTCTTGGAAAAGGTATGAATCTATCTCTTTCATCCAAGCTATGGGTTAAATAGCAGGGCTGACTGGGATCTTTAGCCTTTAACCAAAAACTCTGAATTCCTAAACCCGAGTAGATGGAACTCAATAACATAGGAACATGTTGTGGTCTAAGAGAAAAAAAATTCAAACAGAAAACCAATCATTCCTCAGAGATTGAGCATGGGGTCAATGGTCTCATCCTGTGGATCAATCTGATTACAGAAATCTCACCAAGAGGACTAATGTGCTATAAGCATGTTTCTATCCAAGTTAACCTAAGGAATGTGATGGGACTGCTTCACAAATTTATCAGTCCATGTAAACCCATTATGATTACTCTCAGGAACAGTGTAGGATGGCATTTTTTCCCTTATTTTTACCCAATACAAGATCCAAGAGCCACTAAAGATAGAAGGTTACTGAATAATGTTATATGAGCATAAAAAGAGGCAGTAAGAAGTGAAGATTATAGGAGAGATAATGGTTAACTCTAGACTTGTAGAGGTTAAGATTATAGTGATATGAAAACATCCTCTTGAGAGTCAGTTCCACAAAGTAGCAACTCTTGAGAAGAGTGGAACTTCCTTCTTATTAATGTAATACGAAAGGAATTAGAATGATTCATCCTAGTGGCTGTGGCATGGTGGGTCTTAGCTGCAAAGGTCAAGACTGGTGGAAGTAAGGTGTAACTAGTCAGAACATTTGACATAGAAATAATGATTGAGTAGTGAGAGGTTTGTGATGTTTCATCTGTGGGACAGGGGGTTGTAGGGTGGAAAATAATTCATCACCCATGAGGCCACATAGATGCTTTTGAACTGGGCAAGTGAGGGCTGGCCAGCTCCAGCATGGATAAGACAGTAAGAATTCATTTTTAGTCTGATCTGGCTCTTGTAAAACTAGAGCATATCAGGAGGAGTCAGATACTTACTGGAACAGTACAAGCATCTTTAGCAACCAATCATATATATACAGGTTCCACTTGGGGTGTGGGGTGAGCTTCAGTCCCAATAGGCATTGAGAGAACTGCCATACATCATAATGGGTGAAAGTTCAGGATCCTCTTAATGAGGATAGAATGTTATTAATTTGGTCTTGGTGAAGATGGGAGATTGAAAAGTAGAATTTGATAATTTAACTACTGAATTTCGTATTTTTTACTTAGCAAGGTTAAACATTCAGACTGTATGCTGTACATTGAAAATTAAAAGAAATAGATTCAGTGGTCACAGACTAAGGTAAGTGTTTTTAACAGAATAGGTCTAACATATGCCTATTATATATATTTTATGTAAATGTTGCTACAAAAATGCATTGAAATTTGGAAGAAAGTGATAGGGACTGTCATCAAAGCTGACCCTGGATGAGGCTGCCCTCTGACCCCTGAAAATTCATTTGGTCCCCTGCCCCCTTGAAAATGATATAAACTAATTTTAGTGTACAAAATCTTACTTGCTGCTCCCTTGATTTAAAAGCCTGGCACCTCCACTCAAAACACCCCAGAAATGGGCCTGATAATACAGAAGTAATGCAAGCATTACTGATAATATTATATGTATAATATAAATTAGTTGCAAATAACAACTGTTTATCCATCTACTGATATGGATTTCAGCAGAAAAGTTCACTATTATAGGTGATTGACCTATCACTATATAGTGGACTCTTCATGCTATAACATGTCTATACAAGAAATATCATGTTAAAAGGACACTGAAATTTCAATTGGTTCTGTAGTAAACTTTTAAAGCAAGGTGTGTGTATAAAAGTGGACACTGACGTCAACACTCAGCAGTGACAAGAGAAAAAAATAATATTAAGCAAACAATATATGCAAGACAAAAGTAGGTAAAGCAACAGTAATGAAGCAAAAAAGTTCACAAACTAAGAATGGTGTTAACACAGAAAAGGCAATACAGACAAGTGATTGCAGTGTTCTGATGTCAAAACAAGAAAGAACAGATTAAATCAAAAAGTGGCCTATCTTAGCTATGAAGGTATCCCAGCTTGCATCTGTTTATCTGTTTTGTTTATAAATTTGGGGAGAGGGGATGTTTTTGCAGTCATTCCAAAAGGATTGAAGCCAACAGTAATTTTTAATATTTTATAAGTACAATGTATTTGCAAAATTACTTAAATATGCTACACTTTTTTGACTGCACAGTTAAACTAGTTTTACTATAGAAATAAATTTCATAGATTTTATTAAATGCAATAAAAATCAAGAAAAAAGTGATTGCTAGTATGTGAGAATGTAAGCTTTACCAAAGAGTAGAGATCGTATATCATGCATATGGAGTGCCCATAATTTTGCTATAGAAAATGGGATGGTCGGCATTAATGTTTAATTTATTATTTAAGAAATATTACAAATGATTTTATTATGAAATTCATTGAGAACTAAGAAGAGGATTGTCAGCAGTTAGAAATTAATACATGCATCACTGACAAAAACAAGACTATTATGTATATATTTAAGCCATGCAGTTACTCTATGAATGAGCTTTATTTTAGTAATTTAAATTTGTTAGAGTAGCCAATTTTTGTTAGTATATGTAGTCAAAGTTCTCTTAGCCTTTCATCAATGTCTATCAACAGAGCCAAAACAGCAATTATTGAATTTCAAGCAATCATTTCCTTTCCCTGAACCAGTGAATTTTATTATCTATAT